ATAAGAATTACTCATTTTCTACCCATAATTTTATGTAAACAGTGAATTGTGAGGTGTAAATTTAGTGTTGCGGCTATATATACTCAAAAAAAATCTTATTTATATATTGCAATTATGAGTAATTTTTTAACATATAGCATGATTGTAACACAATATTCGTACCCAATTCAACTTATCTTTATCCATTATGCTTATGCCCGATTTGTTTGGCAAAATCATTTATCATAAATGGTTTTTTGGCGTTCGGTACAACAAAAAAACCAAAATCAACCCCAAAAAATAATAATAATAATTTAATAAAAAATGAGTTGATTTGGGCACTCCACCACCACTACTGCCAACTCACCCATGATCAACGCAACCACAACTACACACTACCACCCATAATTGACTCTATCGCTCGCTGCTACTACCATCAATGGTGAAGCTAAAAAATTGATTATGAAGGAACACCTATTAATTACAATTTCGAATATCGACAATAATAAGAATAATAATTTTCAGTGTTAATATTAACTAGAAAATCTTAAATATTAATTAAAAAAATTTAAATGTAAAATTTTACAATTGATCCTGAAAACTTTTCATCTTTTAAAATTTTTCAATGATATCATACACTACAAGAATTAACACTTTTGCCGACCAAAAAATTGGTCGCTAAAAGTCCATTTTTGGTCGGCAATAGTTATCCGCAACTAATTTTTTTGGTCGCTACTTTGGTCGCCAATTGAGGGTCGGCAAAAGTAATTCGCGACCAAAATTTTTGGTTGGTCGGCAAAAGTCGGATTTGCCGACTAAATTTTTGGTCGCTAAATATATTATTACCGCGACTAATTCATTTAGTCGCTAAAATACTTTGGTCGCGAAAAGTGATATTTTCGCGACCAAATTTCTTAGTCGCCAATTGACACATTTCGCGACCAAAAAGTTTGGTCGCCAATTGTGACATTCCACGACCAAAAAATTTTGGTCGCCAATTGTCACATTCCACGACCAAATTGTTTGGTCGCTAATTGTCACATTCCGCGACCAAAAGAAATGTTTGCGCAATTAAAACTTTAGTCGGCAATAGACCTATTCGCGACCAAATCCTTTGGTTGCCAAAATTAATAATTTTAATGACTAATTATTTAGTCGCCAAATGTGCTTGGTGATACATCGACTACTTTATTTAGTCGGCAAAAGTATAACTTATCTTTCCCGGCTAATCAATTGGTCGCCAAAACTAGAAAAACAAAACCAAATTTTGGTCGTCAACATCCAACAAAATAAACCTATAATTTATAATAATCCATCCAATTTATTCAATATAATCTGTAATTTGCAAAAATCATTCAAACCAACAAATAAATTGAATCATGAACATTCAACAAAATACATATATCAACCATTTCTGAACCTGTTTAATTAAAATCAGCAACTATTATAATTTTTCATCCACAAATAATTCCAAACTACATATTTCAGAAAGGTTGACAATATGAAGACTAATTCATGAATGGTTGACAATATTTCATGAAAGGTTGACAATATGAATTGATCCATAGTCTTCAATTGATCCATAGTTTTCTTTCAGATATCCAGTCTTCAACATTGAATTTTTCTTCAATTTTTAAAGCTCATCATTGGAATTGCTTTTGCTATTACTATGCTTATCACTGGAATTTTGGCACCAGAACTTCCTCCTCATCTTCATTCGTACTGATCTGCTCTCCCCTGTTAAACAACACCATTAGTTCCATTTCTCTGCAAGCAGAGAAAATACTCACAAAAATACATAGTACTTTTCTCCAAGACACTTGACAACTAATAAAAGGGTAACTTTTGACAATTTTTTTGGTGCATGTCCGACTGAATATGTATCTTTATGTACTAGTGTCCCATGTCAGATACACTTTTTGTCAGTCAATTTATTTCAAGTATATATTCTTTTTGTTCAATTGCGAATAAAACCAGAGAAAATCAAATCAACAAGACATGGCTTGGTAATATTGTCAACATCCACTACAGATGGAGATCAAATCCAACTTCAAATGAATAATGATTAGGAGAGGCTCTCAACCTCTCTGGCAAAGCTCTCCAATATGGATGTCACTAGCATAGTTCACATGTAGTTTTATATAAATATAATTTTTTATAATACATTGGGTCATATATATAAGAGAAAACCAAATAAATTTCTTCATCCTTCAGTTGAAAATGGTCTTTCTATGGTAATTTAATAAACACAACGGAAAACGTTTAAGGCCCACAAAAAACTTCCCATAATTTGATCCATAATGATATGTCATAATACATGTTAATTTTTTAGTTGTCATATACTCAATTGTGTAAGGCCTACTTCTCTTGCCACATCATTGTAGGTAAATTTAAGAATCCAAATTGTGGGTCTCGAGCATAAAGCAAAATAACAACGCAAAAATAAGATTCCACACAACAATTCTTCTCTTGAAATCAGGAATGTCATTGGGTAAAGCTTTCATAGTTTTCAAATCCACTTCTCAACGGAAGCCAGTTTGTTAACTAACACGTTTGTTTAAAGACAACCGATGATATAAAAAATGGTCTCTAGTGTTTGATTTAAATATCCAACACTAATAGTTTGATTATTCTGTTCCTTTTTTAATCTTCTTCGATCAAAACAGTTTTCCTCACTTGGCTTTTTATAATTGTTTGTCCATTTAACTACACAATTCTCCATTGGTCATTTAGTAACCAGAAAGAAGACGAATCCGTTTCTTTGAGTGAGTTAATTGGAATGATAAAGGAAAACTGTGTAGAAATGTCCACATCAAAACACTAAGTAATTGTGTAGGGAGCTATGGCATAATTTTTGCACAAACTTCCTTCTAAAAAACATGACATATGTGTCAATTATTAATTATTTTGTGGGCAAGTATGACCATGAACGTGTGAACCATGAAAAATAAGAGCCAAGCAGAAAATTCTTACATTGAGCACTGTTTGGAAGCACCCCTGATGTTTTTAGATCGTTGTTTCACTGGTCTATAATTAATGGACATTTTCCGAATAAATTTAAGCTGCATTTTCCGTTAATCGAAATGTTAGAAGATTGTCAACAGCAGATCATAACCCAACTAATATATGGAAGAGAACACATTCAGTGAGCTTCTAGAGTAAATTCAATATAAATTTTTTAACAAAATAAATAAATAAATAAATAATAACAACATAAGAATAATTACCGAGACTTAAAAAGAAAACGAAAAGTGAAAACTATTGAAGGTAAAAGACAAAGGCAAGCTGCAGAATCAAAAGACCAAAATAGAGAGGATAATGAAACCACTAAACATAGCTTTCAGTTCACTAACTCATCAGCCTAGAAGTATAACTTGCCAGCATAAGAAGTCAAAGATGGAAGCATCATTTAGCAAATCAAGTAGGTTATAAGGAATCTTGCATCATCAACCAAATGATACAAGGAATCTTGCATTTCAACCAAAAATTAATAAGACAACTTTGACGAAAAATGGATAGAAAAATTAGAATAGGCCTAATCTCAAGTGCCAAAATGAAGAAGAAGATGACATTAGAGAATCTAGGGGAGAAATACAATAAGGTGTGAGGTTTACTGCATCAGTAGAACCATTTTGGTACAAGTATTAGCCAATTTCAACTATTCTGTGTTTAAGTCATGAAATAGTGGATGATTTTAACCCAACCCAATCAGATCCAACCTTTGGCAGCAAGATGGCTTTGCCAAACCTTGAGCCAAATTTGGCTTAGGGTTTGGCTTTGCCATTTTTTAGCTAGAGCAATGGCACACTATTGGAGCACCAATTTTGCGAAGCCTAGCCATTTTTTGCCTTTGGCATGACCAATGGCACAACTATTGGAGATGCTGTCATACCTAGCATTTAGAAACTTGTAGAAAAAGGCCCACTAGTGGTAGGCCTCAAGTTATTGCTAATTTCGTAATGTCCAACTATAAGGGATTAGGAAGCGTTTTAAGTCAAATAAGACAAGAAAAATGACCTCCTAATCACAAATCACAAATAAACAAAGTACACGAAAGCAACATAAATATGACTAGTATGTAAAGCTAACCTGATCACCATATTTGATCCCAAAGTTTCGAATGTAATCCTTGTCATTGATAAGCTTCTGACCTTCATAGCACAAACAGAACTGTCCCCATACATGTGACCTACCCACATCAAGTTCAAAGGTGGTATCATTAGTGGTGTAATGCCAGAAAATTTTCCAGATAAAAGCACCATTTTTAGAAAAATCAATGAGTATCTTGATTGAATTTGGATGTCCCATATCTTGATTGAATTTGTTCTCCCCCCATATAATATCTTGATTGGATGTCCCATATCTTGATTGAATTTGTTCTCCCATATAATACCATGAATGCCCAGTGCCAGGCCCTAACGGGCAGGAAAAGAGGAAAAACAAGGACGTGACAAGCTGATTGAGATCGAGAAATCTATGGATAAAATAAGGTAACAATTCTAGATAATGTAGGTTTCCCTATGTTTCAGGTTTTACATAAGATCAACTTGTATGTCCATGTGCTGAATCAAGTTCAAATTCTTTGTCCTTCAAAGCAGATACTGTATTTAGAAAAAGCAACAGTACAGAGAAGGCTGCTTTTCCAAGTGATGATAGCTGAATGACAAGGCATTACATGTTTACCATTTACTCTGCACCCCCAACAAAAAACCTTCTCATACAATTTAAAATAAAATAAAACAAAACATTACGGGGAAAAAAGAAAAGAAGAATGAAAAACATGAAGTGCAAATTACCTGTCCCTTTTTTGGGTGCCTTGAGTGTTCCTAAAGATGGTAGTGGTTATGTTACTTGGTTGGAAAGGAGGCTTTTTACCCAAACAAAGAAAGAAAGCTTTGAACTGAGTTTTTCTTTTGTTTCTATGAAAGTAGAATTATGAATCTTTTGTGTTCTTAGAAAGAGCATTTCATAAAATAGGTTCAGTTGCTTTCTCAACCACCTCCACAGTCTCAAGACAACACAAACGATCATCAAAATAACACCATCTTAGTAATGAGACCAACATTCTAAAAAATTACAAGCTAATTATATCCACTTTAACAAACAAATGAAGCAGTTCATACTAAACATACTTAGTGTATGGATGCCCACGCCAACAAGTAAACACATGTGCACAGACACAAAAACCCACACACTTTACACTCACATTGTTAATTGAAGTCTGGAAGTTTGCCCAAACAGAATGAATTAAATGGACTTTCCTGTTTGGCCCACCATATCTCCATAAGAACTACAAACAACAGTTTGAACATCAGTCAATGAATTAAAATAAACTATCATGTCCAAAGAAAATATAAAAATGAAAGAGAGAGAGAGAGAGAGAATGGGCACACATTGGCCAAAGCATTTAACTTTTTCGAGGAAGGGGAGTTCTCTTTTCTAATATTCCAAACCAAGGCAACCTGTACTTTTCCTGAAATTAAACAATAGACTTAACAATCTAAAAGGCCCTGGACAGACCAGTTCAAATACAAAATTTCACATTCTAAATTTAGGTACTCAGGTAGTGACCATTTCTATATCTTTCAGCATAAGGAAGGGATGTGTTGTATGTGGTCACAGCCATCTGCATACAAAATCATCATCCATTACAAAAGCAAAAATTGCAAATCACAACCACTTAACTTTATCCATAATAAAATTCCAGGAAAATTGTATTGGCATTACGCAATTATTCACCTGAACATAACGCAATTCACCTGTCCCCCGGTCTTCATCATATGGTTCTACATTTAACTCGGCAATACCTAAAAAAATAAAATTAAATCGAAAACGATCAATAGAGATTTTAGACAGAAATACATCCATTATGATGTGCCCGTGGCATTTTTAAAATCGATTCTAGATTAAAATGAAAGATTTAGGACATAGAACAAGCCTTGCTTTAGGAGTTCAACAGCAGCACTAATGTTTGGATGGTGAGCTGTACAACCAAGAACACGAACGTTAGAATATAATTCAAAGACAAACCAAAAAAATTTCAGTACACAATCACATAAAAACTCGAGTATCGGACCTTTACAATCAGGAATATCAACTACATTATGAGTACCCTCTTGATAGAGCCCAATGAGAGGGTCGGTGGATGAGCCCCGAACTGCGAGTTTTGCGCGGCACATCCATCCCCACTGTAAAGGGCGAAAATGTTATCAAAACCCTAACTACAAAAAAACCCAATTGAGAAAGTAAACAAGGAGGAGGACATACGAGTCTACAAGTATCAAAGGTGAAGTCAGATACGCCGTGTTTGTTAAAGAAGTCGGTGGCCTCGTCGAGGATGATCGGACGGTGGAGATTGTACTCTTGAGTGCAACCAGAACACCTGCAAAAACAAAGCGATAGTCGTCGTTGTAATGAGATGCCGAGAGAGTCGACAAGTGTAGAGAAATAGAGAGGTGAAGTGGTGGTGCGTTCGATTGGAAGTGAGGGCACTGGAGGGCGCAGGTTAAGGAGGGTAAGGCGGTTGGGTTAGGGTTTGGTGGCGGCGGAGCTGGAGGGGCGGTGAGGTAGCTGATGAGAAAGGCCGATGGCCGACCTGAGACTGAGAGGAACAAAAGAGCCATTCCCGTATGGCAGTGGCGAGAATGGATAATCTCATTTCTTACGAATTGGTATTCATTTCCCCCCTTCATGTTTCAAATTTGCCCCCAAACTTTTGGCGACCAAAAGACCATATTAGTCACAGAAAAGGTACCTTCGCCGACAAATTTTTTTAGCCGCCAAATCTCAATCAACAGCGACTAAAATATTAGTCGCTAAAAATACTAATTTGGTGACTAATTTTTTTTGGTTGCTGAAAATAAGTTTTTGGCGACCAAATTTTTGGTCGCCAAAAAATATATGACTTTCTGTGACCAAATTTGTAGTTGGTCGGAAAAAGTATACCACTTTCTGCGACCAACTCATTTTTTGGTCGCCAAAATATAACCTTCTGCAACCAATAATATTTGGTCGCCAAAAATAATGATCATTCACGACTAATTAATATTTGGTCGCCAAATGTTATTTTTTTGCGACCAAAATTTTTTTGGTCGGCAAAAGTGGCCGGCAATTGTGTAAATTCTTGTAGTGATAATCAATACTATAAAAAATCTCTCTTTTTACACATAGAACAAATTAAAATTCTTTAATCTAAAACATCAAAATCTCTAACATATCATTTTTAATATCATCATCATAGCAACACCATTACTAGTACATCAATTTTAAAATCATAAGGAAACTTGAGGGGAAAAACATTTTCTCTCAAAATAATTGGACATTATGGACCATTAATTTGAAGTCACCACCAACTTTATAATTGGACCCATTGAAAAAAGACTACCAATTCCAGGGCTGTAAGTGACTCATGAGAAAGGAACCCATAACCTCCCTAAATAAAAATAAAATAAAAAATACAATTCTTGGTTGGCAAGCAGTCCCCCTCAAACACACTACCTCAAATAGATTGTGGGCCTGTTTGGCAACTTCGAGTAATTTTAAATTCCAAAATTGATTTTTCATGTAAGGACTGTTTTGCCCTCTTGGGAAAAAAAATGCATTAACATAATACAAGTGTAAATTGGTAATGACACTCAAATTTTCTCCATTACGACATCACTCAATCATTGAAAGTTTCGTATCGCAAGATATATATTAAAATAAGTGTAAATAATAAATACATCATTGATATTTATTTAAAATACATATTATTTTGTGGTTTTCAAAAAGGAGATTGATCGATAAATTCTAAATGTTGAAATTGTGATTCAAACAGTCTTAGAATTTTTCTTATGTTCCGTTTGGTTCTATTGTACATGTAATGACAAATTTAACCTTTTGTTGGGTATTACAGTTGGAAGAAGTGGATGTCACGGTGAAAAAAAGTACACTACAATCTTTTTAGAACTCTTTCTTGTCGTGGAACATGCCACATTAGCACTCTCTCAACCTCTTTTTGATAATTTTCCCTTTTACAAATATATCTCTTCCCTTCAAGTTTCTAATTACCTAACAAATGACCCATTTTATTAATAAATTATCAACTCAATTTATAATTTTTAATAATGTCATAATTAACAATTTAGGTAATTTTATTATTGTGTAAAAGGGTAGTTAAGATTTTTTTTTTTAATTCTGTTAAATAAAAAATTTCAACAACAGGATATTTGTAATTTTCAAAATTATTGGAAGTAATTCACATTTTAAGCAAATGACAAATGGTGTATTTGTAATTTACCTTAAAAGTAAATTATACAATATGAATTCAAACTTGATGTAAAGTGAATCATATCGAGAAAAATATGATGTAAATAATACTTTTTTTCTAAACGTATGATCTACCACTATCTCAAAAATCACTTTAATCATATTTTAAGATTCTTACATGATTCAACAGCATTAAATGAATTAAGATTGGGTGAGAGAATGTTTTTCAAGCAATATTATATACTCAAAAAAAAAATTTCCTTAAAAAAAATAAATAATAAATTGCATCTATTTTGATATAACTCATATCACACCAATTTTGTGTCTATAGTATACACTACACTTTTGAGATACTTTTCCTAGCACTCTTTCTGCATACCTAGCATCCGGTGAATAATCCCCCATTATAATAGTCATCAACCCATTTTACAAAATTGTAAAATTAATCAAACCCAAGCCCTAAATGAAACTTCAAACCAACAAAAAAAAAAAAAAAATGCTATATGAGCCCACAACTCACAACCTCACGTTGGTTTGCTTAGCAAACAAGAGAAACCATTTTGGTTGAATTGTTGAGTTGAAACTCTTCCCATATATGGCTTCTTCTAGAAACGCATCATCATCCAATTCAAAATCACATACAAGCCGGCCATGTTTGTGTTCACCTACAACCCACCCGGGCTCATTCAGGTGCAGCCTCCACCGGATTGTCCATAAGGTCCCCAGCCAATCAACCGGTCACACTGCATCAAATCACTGGGGATTCGCCATGATTGCAAAAACCGATTCATTGAAAGCATTTCTCCTCCAAATCATCAAACCGTCGAGCCATGATCTCAAAAGGAGGAGGAATTTCCAGCCCAAGCCTACCAGGTTTTTTTTGATGAATGGCAATGGAGATGGAGTGGTTGTTTCTTGATCATGGTCATTTACTATATGTGTCTTCTTAGTTTTAGAAATAGTACTACTTATCTTCATTTTTCCTTTTTTCTTTTTTCTTTTTTCTTTTCTTTTTTTTTAAAAAAACTGTAAGATGATAAACTTTGGCTGTGATGTGGACATATGAAAATTTGTAAAGGAGAAATATACAGAAGCAGTAGGCTTTCATGCATAAGAGAATTTGGTTTCAATGTTATAAATAATTTCTTTTAGGCTTCCACTTTTTTGTTGCTCTTTGTTCCTACTTTACTTAAACATGAAGATGTTAATCAACATTAAAAGCAAATAAGAATTCAGATGTGAATGTCTCTTTTATTTGGAGATAACACTTAAATATAATCATCTGTCATTTTTTTTTTTTTTTTTTTGGTAATTTAATAGCCCAAAATATGCATGAATAATAATAATAATAATAATAAAAAAAAAAAAACTACCCACAAAAAAATCGTAAAAAAAGAACAATTTAATCACAACCAGAGTATATTTTGCTTCTATTGTGATTTCCAATGAAGAAGTTATTGACTGTACATTTTTGTAAGGGTTAAATTCATTTTGCTCCATTGTGGTTTGAGGCTAAAGTATTTTAGTCTTTTATGGTTCAAATATAATTAGAAAGACCTTATGTGATTTTAGATTAAAATACTATTATTAGTTTTTTTTATCCAAACTAAAGGAACATGTATTACACACTATTTTTTAGTGGGTTTTATTTTTTGAAAAATTAAAATGAAATTAATACAACCAAAGGATAATTTTACCCTCATTTTCTCTAAAGTTAAAATTAGATTAATATGTGAATTAAGTTAAATTATAATTAAGAATTGATGTAAAATATAAAATATAATTAAGAATTTATTTAAAATATAATTAAATAAAATATAGAATAAATACTAATTCAGAATTGATCTAAAATTTAATGAAATTAAAATTAGATTAACACATTAGAAATTATAATAATAAATAATTACGAATTTAGGATTAATTGTGATCTAAAATATAATTAAATTAAAATTAGATTAAAA